TTCCAACCATTTCTTGAAAGAAGCCGGAGTATTGGCTTCTACAACATGACTGGGTACCTTGTCCACACTCCCACAGCCCTATGGAGAAGCATTTTCCTCATGTCATCAGCTTTAAATGCTCTTCCATGTGCATTCCAGCTGTGCCCCCTGCTTCCCGCCTCCTGCTGGCTCATGGCTGACATTGTCAGTGCCTGCAAGCATTTTCAATGCTTCCACCAGGTCCTCAGATTGTCTTCTCTGCACAAGACAAAAGGCTTCAACTCTTTCAGCTTGTCAGGCTTTGTTTCAGAGCTGGCCAGTCCCTTCAGCCCTGGAGTGTGTCTGGTTGCTGTTCTGTGGACTCATTCCAGGGCTTCATTAACTTTTCTATAATGTTCTGACCCAGACTTTAAACAATATTCTGAACGAGGGCTTACTAGTGTGATATACCATTTTTATAGACCATCCTTTGATTTCAGTCCTATGCTTTTAACTGTGTATCCGTACACTTTGAGTCAGTTTGAGTACTTGAATTAGATCCCCTTGTGGTCTCCTCTGTTCTGTAATTGACGGAACTGAATTGAGGTGGGTATTGAAGCTCTTTAAGGTTTCCTGCGCACAAAGTGTCTGGATGCAGGAGGAGCCTGACTCTTCGTTCATCAGCAGAGCAGGCCGCGTGCTCAGGAACATGCACACCATCTCATATCGAGTTTATTTCATTGTGTAATGACACATTAGAAGAGCGTCCCTTTAAACATGTTTCTCTCATAAAAAGAAACATCGGATTGTGCACTTTGCAAAAGGTTATTCATATTTCCCCCAGAGGAAGGTTGAACTAAAATCAAATCACATCATTGCCCTCTTGTCTTTTCACTCCGTGCTTTATTTTACTGATTTTTACAAAGCTTGGGAGCACATTCTTTTTTCTAAGAGCTGTGTTTTGTCATCAGGAACAATGTTTACAAGTTACCGCATGGTGACCAAGGCATCCTAGCCATGCTGCTGCTGTGATGACAGGCAGGCATCTATTTAAAGATGTGCAGCCTTCGCAGTGCTGCACAAGCACGGAGAGCTGTCTCCTGTGCGCACACTTGTCCACATCATGGAGTTTGGCTCCTGCTAAGCAGTTTGTGATGGAACTTGGCAGCAGTGAAAACATCAGCTGTAGCAGCAGTGTCCATTGTATTTACTACATTAACAGCAAATAAGAGCCCCCTGGTGCTGTGCATTAACACAATGAGCCTCGTGTTCTCTCTTTCTTTCTTTTTAATACATCCAATGACAACAGCAGAGGTAGGTGAGCAAGGCTTCTACTTTATACAAATATGTAATGAATATTTAAACATATAATTATTTAAAAATTAACCAGGTGTCCTTTCAGAGAGTCTGCCCCCTAGGCAACATGAATGGAAATGCAGTGGGAGGGATCTGGGGAAAGAGTAAAACATTTGAAAAGGATATTTTTCTTTCTACTTTTGGAACATTTTAAAACACTAAATATTGTTTCTCAAATAATAAGATACCAGAGACTAGATACAACCAGCTGCAGGTTGGGAAGCCACACCTGTTCATTGCAAGAACACACTCAGAGCAGGTGATCGAGAGCTGTTGCCTGCTGCCCAGAGTGCAGTTACATCAAGATCAGCTGCCCTCGTCTGTAGAGCTACTGCTTCACATGCAGAACCAGTAGAAATCCTGCGCAGGGACTGGCTGAGGAGAGCTGTGACTTGTGCAATGTGGTTCATGCCCAGTGACTGGCCAGGGAGCAGAAGACTCCCACAGTCTCCCTCTTGCCAGGCCAGTGGTGACTGCCTCCCGGCTACAGCACAAACTGATGCTTCCTGCAGTCTCTGGCTTCTGTTTCCTTATGGCTAGTCTCTGCCCTATATGGAAATACAATATAGAGTATGCGTTTGCATTTAGGTGCCCAAATGTATTAATTGTAAGAGCGCAGTAGGTGCAGACAAGATGTACTCTTCTGCATTGGTGGAAAGGAACAAGTGAAGGTTGATTCTACTAAAGTAGAAAGAAGAGACGCACATTTGAACCCTCAGTCATACATCTCAGCCGGCCCTCAGACCTTAAGTGCCTGTACCAGGTGAGCTAGTCAGGAATCTAGCACAGAATTGTTTAAGTCTTAAACAGCGAAGACTACGAACGGACCGGTTTCAAATATTCAGACTTCTCAAGAGCACTGATGTGGTCAGCTCAGTGGACGTCTTCAGAAGATAACGGGAAACAATGGGAAACCTCAATTCACAAAGTAGAAACCACTTGGAAGTCCTGGAAACACTGAATTCTTTCAAGAAGATCCTCAGAATGTTTAACCACTAGGAGTCACCTAACCTCCTGATCCCCTGTTCAGCTCTGAGGAGGACTGAGGGGGTAACTCGACTCAGCTATCTGCCCTGTCAAACCCTAGCCCACCCATTTTCCATTCACAGGTCTCCAGAGGCTGCACATGACTCACGGTCTCGGCAAGGCTCTTCCCGAAGATAGGAAGAGCGACTTCCCTCTTTTGAGATACCGTACAAATTAAAGCTAAGCTTCTTCATCCTCATTCTGGTTTGTGCTTCCGATTTTTCTGCTTTCCATGTGCCACGGCAGTAAAGTACTATTGTGCCAGAAGGTCAGGCAATCTCATATCTAATCTAATTTTTACATTGTTTACTTAAGGGAAACATCGAACACAAAGAATGGGCTACGCCTGCTTGGCACTGAGAACATCAGCGGGAATGCTGGCTGGCAGGACAGATAGATAAACAGCATTATTGGATGCATTTAAAGGATTTGTATCAGCTAGTATCTCCATCAATAACTTTTAAAGAGAGCTGATGCGTTACGTTATTTAACGTCAGCTAAAAGAGAGGTTCTATAGCGACCACACATCACGACCAATGTGCATGGCAGAAATGGGGAATACAGTAAGAGGTCCTTCCCAAAGCACCCCACAAAACAGCCACGCTGTGTGTCTCCACGGTTCCTCTCTGCCACAGAGCCGGATCTGCCTGGGTTCGTCATTAACTTAAAAGCCACTTCTGCCACAAAGAGGTACTAAGCCCCCTTGTGTCCGGATCTCCGACTGCTCCTCTGAGTTCTTCCTGCTTCACATCCAGGGATGGCCTGATACATTCCTAATATTTTCTTCTAATATTAGGAATTTCCAGTATTTTCCCACCCAGAATAAAAAAATAAATGAACGCCACACAAAAAAAAATCAACCGGTGAAGCCGTGCCTTGGAGAAGTTTCCTGTTCATGCCTTGAGAAGCCTTTGTGCAGCCATGTGTTGGCTCTCTGGAGCCTGACAGTACAAAGCACAGCACTAACTCCCCGGCACTTCCTTCTGTAAACACAGTTGCAATAAATAAGTCAGGAGGCCAACCCCACAGGTGTCACTAATCAGCTGTAGTGTTTGCAGGACTGGAAGTGGAGTTCGTGGAGGGGAGGGGATCTACAGCTGGACACTGATGCAAATTCACAAAGGAAAAAAAAAACAACTCACAGAGCCGCAAAGTTAAACAGGAAGACCTCTTCGTATCCCCGGGAACTACATGATCAAGAGCGGCTTTCACTTCCACTAATTAAATGGCAGTCCCCTCCTTTTCATAAAGTACACTCTTATTAAAACAAGCATCTCTAGCCACTCCACTAGATAAATGACTTTACACCAAGAGCCATAAAACCCATTAAATACCTTCTTTAGAAGTGGATCGGGTCCAAACACACAATCAAAGGATTTCACTGGGATTATCTTAGATTAGAAACACTGAGAGAAAAATGAGGAGATGACAGGATATAAGACATTGAAAGGATAAATTAGCAGCTACATACCAAACCAAAACTTTACGATGCTTATTTAAAAGCAAAAAACAGAGAAGAAGGCAGAAATACAAAGGTACATTAACTCCCACACCCAAATTAAACAGTACATCTGCAAACCTCGTGAAAGGTTTCTTCTCAACCGGTTCTCAATATGTAAATAAAGATTACATGCAGTCTAGAAAATAAGAAAGAAAAGACAAATAAATAAAACAAAGATTGTCCTTTTGAGCATGCATTAGGGTGCATTAACCCTTTTCTCTTTCTCATAGCAAGTTTTAAATAGACAGCAAAAAGCAAACTGCACCAAACTCTGACAATTCAAAGAAAACCATGAGATGCCTTTGACAAACAAGACAGTTTGTGGTCACATAAATGTGATAAAACGTATTGTGACTCCACAGTGATACATTCTTCAAAGTGCACTTTTATTATGGTTTACTAAAACTTGCTGACTTTTGAGTATCTTCTATTGAGTAGCAAAACACACTCTAATGACTCTAATGCTCAGTAGTTTCTTTTTGAAATATCACTATAAAATACTTTGAACTAATTAAAAGCCTTTAAAAGTCATACATAAGCAGTTGTCTAAGTGATCAGTTGGGTTTCACACCTCTTTTCAATCAACTTTAGAAGAGAACAACACTTTCTTCACTCTAAGAAAGTTGAAAACTTCACACTACTCAGAATGTTTTGCAATATTGTACAAGACTACTTAATTCACATTAAATAAATGTGACTAAAGTGCCTAGCACGGTCAAAATATATTTGCAGTTATCAATCACGAACGGAGAGTTACATGAAAGTGTAATTAAAAGAAATAATTGATGGGATGTAGCTGATAGGATTGACAGCATCAACTGATTTCTGTTGCTCAGTATAAAAGCCTTTTTACATCGGAGACCTGACACAGCTACAAACAAACTCTGACAGACCCAACCTGTGTTGCAAACACAACTTTCAATACATGCAGTGTCTCTTACTTCAAAATTGTTTGGGCAGCTAAGTCAACAGAAGAAGAGGCTGTCAAGTTTACAGAGACATGGTAAGATTTTATTAATTGTCTTCTTTTATTTCACTGAAGTCAGAAATTCAAAAATATAGTATAGAACCTATAAAGAGCTTTTTTTTAAAAAAAAAAGAAATGAATAGGGTTCTTCTTAAGCTTATTGGAAGAGATTTAAAATTATATCACATTAGATATGTAAGTAATCGGAACTTCTTTACATATTTTAAACAGAATTAGAGGCCTTTTATCACATTTTATGCAAGGCTTTGAACTTCTACCAGGGAGTAACAAAGACAAGGCCTGGCTTCCACAGGGTTTTGCATGCTAAACACCTGACCTGTATACAGAAGAGAATTTTAGGATCCACATTTCACAAAGTTTCCATTCAGACAGTTGTCAGACTTGTTCCAATAGACAATGAATCCCTGAATAAATGCAATACCTACAGAACCTTTTCAGACAAGGAAATATTCCTTTCAGTGCTTAGAGTTTCTTCGCTTTCTGTTTTAAATCCATCGGTCCTCCTTCATTAATCAGCTTCTGGAAAGTAGAATAGTGCCTAGATGTTGTTACATCTCCGCTTGGAAAGAGCGGAAAAGTCACATTTGAATGTTCTTTTCTTCAGTCACATTTTTTCTTGGAAAAAAAAGAAATATAAGAAAATTGTTCAAAGCACATCTCTACAAAAGACTAAAATAAAACAATATCAACATCAAGGGGGTTTTAGGTCTTTTTTACATTTATAATTTATTTCTTAAAACCTTAAAATGTGTTTCATTTTAAGACAAACCTTTTCAGTGTATTTTTAACCTTTTATTCTTTTTACCAAAACCATCTTTTTGGAATTATATTCATAGGTGTAGCCTTACTTGTTCATTCTGATGAAGCACTGCCGGACTCTCAGGAAAAACCTTGTGACCAGTTACTGTTAACAATAAAAGAATCTGCCAGCACATGCTGGAGAAAAAAATAATTGCACGGACTTTATGTTGACAACAGCGCACTGTGTGTTCAAAGCAGAAACATCTGCTTTATTTCCTTTCAAAGAGACAGCTAATGAATTATATTTTTTTCTTCTCTTGAGGGTACTGTAAATGGGACTACAAGCAAAACCCAGGTTTGGAAAGTCTCTATAGAAAGAAAACGTTTTGTTCACTGAAGAAATCCACCATTTGCGTATTTTGTTAGCATCGTGTTTGTATAATGCTATGTGAAAGAGTTCCAATGTTCTTTAAAGGCTTTTTTTTTCATCACAAGGCCTGTAAAGACTTTTTTCAATGATCTATTTCTCTCACCTTTGCTATTTTTGTTTCATTAAAGCTTCACATGTAAATAAAAACCATAAGGATGTAGGAAAGGTTACAAATCGGTAACTGCCAAAAACATTTGGTTGCGCGTAATTTTCTGATCCAAGACTCTCATCCAAACATCTCTTGCCAGCAGCAAAGTCTGGTCCCCGTGTGGTCCGTGTCTGTTCAAGACTAAAAGGGTTCAGCCAGTCTATGTAGGGTGCTCTTTTGAGTTTGGGAATGTGTATGATCTTCCAGCAATATCTTCTTTGTAAAGTGGTTACAAATTTGTAAGCAAAATTCTGAAATATATCTCACTAGTGTATTGTACAATTGTAATATTGTATAAAATCCCTTGATTTATATTCTTTGTTTTAAACATAGAATGTACATTTTAAATAGACTACTGTATAACCTAGCATTCTGTGAACCTTTTTTATTGCTTGCCCTCTTTGTCCAGAAAACGCGTTAACATGAGTATTTTCTTTTAAGTATCTTTTTCAAGCTCTGTGTTTCCTATGTTATATTTATAGCTTATGTTTCTGCTACCTGCAAATAACACCCTGCTCTTGTCTATATTAAATGTCATCTGCCATTTATCTGGTCTTACATTTTTCAAATTCTTTTTCATTTTCTTTTGCAGGTTTTATAGTGTTTGCTAAACCAAATTATATATGGTTAGGCTGGGTAATATTTTCTGTGTGGCATAATATACTCTCACTTCATACAGAACTTTCCTGATATTTATATATTTGAACAACCCATTACAGTATTTCGCTTTACCGTTTGTACTAAAGAGTTCCCTCTAGACCCATCACAAAATAAACTTCTCCATGTCCTCTGAGTGCTTGGATTAGGGATTGTGTAGTTTTGCAAATGAGCTTCAAGACTGGAATATGGAATCAGACCCCAGACTCAAACGGCAGTATTGCACAGTATTGTTACTTCACAGCACCGTGAGCAACTGTCTTCCCAATCCACTCAGCCTAGTCCCATTGACAGTGAAATCATGGAGGATTTGAACAATTATCTCGGGCACGCCTGTGAGGTCCCTTGCCAGACTGCAGCAACTGGCACAAGCGCATAGCAGGAAGAGATCGGCCCCCAACTCAGGGGAGGCGAACAGTATCACAGGGCCCAGAGGAGCTGCTGTACTCTTGTTGTGCATATCGAGCACCGGGTGCACAAGATCTTACAGTCAAGCTCTCTCTTTGAAAAACAAAACGAAACAGCCTGGGGAGAAAGAGGACAACTTTTAAAAAAATAACACTGCCAGCAAGTGACAAGTCTGAATCACGGGCAGAGATCATCTGGAACTGAGCTATCTGCCGTTGTGTGGGGTCCCTGGCCTTTGGGGATGACTGCTTTCACATCAGGTGCAAGGCTAACGGCCCATCTGTTTCAACCTGGGCCTCAAAGAGTCCCACAGCATTTTCTACAGGAGACACCGGCCTGGGGCACATTCGAAACTGAAATAAACTGCTGTGCCCCCTCATGTATCTATATAATATGCGCGAAAAGAAAAGAAACAAAACTGACTTGTTCCTAGTCTCAGAAACAGAGGGCTGGTCCTCAGATAGGATGGACATACACTGGCGTTTGCTCGTGGAGACTGAAGTCACTGCCTTCTGATTCGAGGAGGAAGAAAGAGTGCCACGGACCTGATGACAGCACAAGGGAACTCTTAACAAAACACTTTTTAGAATAAAAAAGCAAAGCCTCTTACTGTTCATTAATTATCACCACCCTAACAGTGCCAGCCCCCCCATCTCAACCCAAACTACTTCCCTTCCTGTTACAAATCAATTTAAAGATGACATGAAAGAATTACTCACGAGCTGTGACGAAGAGTGATTATTCTGGACTGCGGCAGATCTCAGCTGCTGCATGCAGGGGCTAAGGAGACAGAAAACTGAAATGAGTTCTTCCCCCCCCTTTTGTCAAATTAATGTCAAGCTGAACGCCATTTGACATCAGCTTCATTAATGACTTCACAGGTCCTACAAAATTAATGTCAGCTGCGATGTCCTCTATTAAGAAATTAAATATTTAGACTTCTAGGAAGCCATTCTAATCCTTTTCCCAAACCGGAACGAGCTCTGCCATGTTTTACTGTTTGCAGCCTGTCCCCAGGCCTACATGAACACCAACAAAATACTCCAGAATTGATTTACAGCGGATTGCAATACACTCACACTGCTCTAAATAGTTCACAGTGAGGAATCCGTGGATATTAGAAACCACTGAATCAGGTGGCGCATGAAATTCAAACACAAAGCCTCCTTACCTTAAATCCAAGCCATTGCGGCTAGAGCATAAAAGTCAGCATGTTGTCTTTTTTTTCTTTCACGTCTCACAGTTTAGTCATCCTACCTTTCCAAAGGATTTCATGACCCCAAGACCAGATATTTTTCGGTACCAGATCAGCCCTCGTTTGTTTCCTTTCCTGCGTGAAGATTCAACCCCAATCCTCGCTCCTTCCTGACCACAGAGAAACATTGTGCCTGTTTTCCTGGCTCTCTATTCCAGCGATAAACCCCCTCTTCTCAGGATGTGGAACTCCTGAGGTGTCAATATGGTGTTTTTAACGATGAGCATTTTTAGCTACTTTTACAAACATCACAATAGTGGCTCCTGTGCCTCCAACAATTATGGGAGTATTTGTTCAATGAAACAGTCACAGCTGGGGGCCAGAAGACAGTCAGTTCAACATGATAGATCTTTCATGTGCGAGATCTGATCGGCTACTTCAGGACAGGACATTTCTCAATGTAAAGCTGCCCTTGTGGCTCAGACTTCAGAGAGGTGTCCAGTTTTCTAGACAGTGAATCTGCAGGTTCTTTTTAAAAATCAGCTGTATGGGAACAGCCAAGAGAATCCTAGCAGTTTTTATGTTAGTCCCGTGGACGATTTGGGCTTTGGTTTTTGAACGTACGATCTCTTCGATAATTCAGCACTTACATGGGGGTTCCTATCTGGCTGTCGGGATCAGTGTGCCATCCACAGCCAGACAGCTCTGGTGTAAACAGGGGAGAAGTGAGCAATGACAGCCCCCTGCTCCAGCTGTCACACTCATGAGCTCTGGCGTGCAGGAGAGACAGCTCTGTGCTGCCTGACCTGCCCTGCCTCTGACCAAGACGTCCTCTGTTCTGCCTTCCCCTAGCCGGGGCTGGGACCCCTGCGCTCAGTACGTCTGCTCCCCCCTCCAGACCTCAGTCACTTCCTCTTCCGGGTCAGGCAGGTCAGCTTGTCTCTTCACTCCAGGTTGGGCCACTTTGTTTCACCTCGTCTTTTCTTTCTGTCCAATCATACTGTGAGACACTGGTCCTTAAGTCTTATCAGCTCCAAAACCAAATAATTCAGGACATGCAATTCATAGTATTAAAATAATTATTAATTAGTAAAATTATTAATAATATTAATTAGTTACTAAAGCACTGTTTTTTATTAAATTGAGGTCACAAATAAAGATGGAAAGCCAGGGTGATCATCAAAAATTAAGTTTAGGTTTATAGTCTGAGATGTGTTTTCCTTTTCAGATTATTTGAACATTAAATATGTGGTAGATATGAATATTTAAAGATGGCCTTTTAAAAATGACAAATGAACCTTTGGTGTGAACCACTAAACCATTTTCAGAATTTCTGCATTCAAGTTTGTTATTATTAAGAGACCTTGAAAGGTTAAGAAACTCAGCCTAACACAGCAGGTATAAAGTATAATAAAATAAACCACAATGTTCAGAAAAACCAAAAACAACTTAAAAGCATTGCTGAAAAGAAGAAGCACTCAAATCTAAAGCCCAAGACTGTGATTGATGTGGAGTATTAAGTCCTAGAGCTTTGCTATTGGCAGGTAAGAGTTAGTACCACAATGATAGCTTTTTAATTAAGATGAAAGAGAAGGAAGTGCAGACATGACGTTCTGATGGCATCTGACAGGCCCCTGGTGCTGCTTTGAATCGTCAGGGTTGATTATCTGCAATCTCATGTTTGAATTTACACAGCTCTTCCCAGCCTCTCTGAGCCCATGGGTGTTCCCTGGCGGGGGACGCAGGAGGGGTCTTCTGCCCCACCCCCTGCTGCCCCTAAACCGGCCACAAGGTCGTCTCGCACAGAGAGAGCTCCTACAGTGTGCATGCACCTGACGCCGGGGCAGGGAGGACGGGCGGTTGTGTGTAGGGCTAGGGTGAAGCCATTTGTTAGGGTCAGCAAAGGCATTTTTCTTGTTGAGAAAGTTACATGTATCTCATTCCCTCGTAGCGAGTAGCCCTTGGATTTTTGTTCCTGGCACAAAAACAAGAAAACCTATCTTGTTAAAACAAAACCAGAATCCAAGTGGTATTTTTGGAACTGGCACTCCTTGTGAGCATATTTCAGGGCGAGGAAAGATGCATTGGTTCCTCGAGGAAGAAGAACATTTTTGCGCGGTAGAAGTGTTTATTTTTAGGTTTTATTAGTTTCATCTTCTCTGGTGGAGCCTGGACGGATGTAGCCTTTCCACTCCCTCTTTTTGAAGAAATCGACTCTTTAATCTTTAAAATAGATCTTTGATTGAATTCAGCCACAGTGTATCCCAGTACAGCAATAGTACAGCCTCCTCGGGCACGGACACTTTGTCCCTCACCTGTGTCAAAGCTTTGCACGCTGTTCCTGAAAAGTCCTCAGATCTGTACAAAAGGAAAGTATATCTATTTAAAAAACTGAGATGCAGAAGGCCTGCCCAAGTTTAAAAGCACTTCCATCCTCTTCCAGCTCTGACACCTAGCAAAGAGGGCAGTGCTGTTAATGCACTGATGTCAAACACACTTCCTTCTGGCAGGTTGCTCCAGGTCCTATCGAGGTCTTCATTAAAAGCAGCCAATTTCTCTAACCTTTTAGCAGCATATCTTATCTGATGAACATGAATTAAAGTCTCTCAAATGACTAATAATCATATCAAAGCTGCCATGTCAGGCAGTAGATTTAAATAAGAGGGGTTGAAAACATTTGCATGCCTCTGTGTGCCAGTGCTAAGAAGCTAATGTGATAGTGCAGTCATAAAGTACTGGAAAGACATGACTTAATGTAATCTGTCATGTCATATGCTAATCTTCAGCCATTACTTCAGTACTGTAAGTAAGGAGAAAGCATTCAGGAAAAATCCTTTCTCATTTCACTGAGTACCACTCTCTGTGTCTGGTCACCTCAAATGGGTTCTTGGCATTAAATGCAACTCTACAGTCAAGTTGGATAAGGTCACGACTAATTGCTTGCCCCCAGGCCTGTTCCTGTCCCTCTCCTCCCTCTCTCTTTGTCCAGCTGAATGTTAGACCAGCTGTTTCTTTCAGGATATTGCATTTCAGGCAAACTCTGGCAAGCTGGATTTCAAACATACCTTATAAAAGACAAGGGCAGCTTGATAGGTTGGGATTTATGGTTATAAATAGCTCTTACAAACTGCTAATCTACTTCTCGGCCTCTTAAGTGCCTTTTCCTTTCTGAACTGCATTCTTGCACAACACTTTCTCATCAAAAAGTCAAACACAGAGGCTCGAGATTTATTTCAGGGCTTACTAAAAAAAAATAAAACACAGAAACTGTCATTCCCACTCATTCTGCATTGGTGGTAAGTGGATTGTATCCCGGGAAGTACTTCTCCTGGGCACAGCCGGCTCATTTGAATAGTTTGCAGTTGTTTAAAAGGGCCAGATGTGTGGGACTACAAGGTCACTGTCGCTCACTAACAGCACCAGAGTTCAGCCTGGTGCACTGGTATTTTCCTTCTCGGGAGCATTAGAAGAGAGCTAGAACTCCTGCAGGCTACTGCTCTTTGCTTATTGATTTTCTTTATCCACAACAAATCGCAAGACAAAAAGTGGAAACCTAAAGAATTGTATTTGAAGGCTTTCTTATGCACTTGCACTACTTAATACCATAACGTATCTTTTTAACGTTGCTGGCTCCACCTAACTAGCCAGCGCAGACATTGCATGGCAGCAATGTGGCCTAGGATTTGGAATATGTGAGTTATCAGTACTAAACAAATACATTTCCACCATGGTAAAGTCTCCTTGCATTCACTTTAACTTTTCTAAAGGCAGTTGTACACAAAGGAAAACACTGAACAAATCAGCAGATCACATAATTGTCCCAAATGGTGCTCGCACCAAAGGAACAAGAATTCTCCTTGCCTTTGATAGTGATTTGATCTTGTCTGCTCCCTTTTATCGCACATTTACTTTACAATTTAATGTCTCTTTCTGAAGGCAAGCTGTATCTGAAGCAGCATATAGTTCTGATTAAATTTATTCTTACTTTCCATCCTGTTTCGTTGTTTTTTTTCTTTTCTTGCTGAAACCAAGGCCCTGAACCTAAGTCAATTAAAATGTTTAGGCAAGCTGGTCATCCAGCCTTCAGCAAAGTTCTGTCCATGACCCAGCCTGACTGTGAGTAACTGGACAGACGGCACAGGCCAAATGTGAGGAGCTCTTGTTCCACCAAATTCTTCCCATACGTCTCACAGTATTAACCATCAAGACCTTCTGCATTTTTTTGTTCTTGTTGTTTTCATTTTAATAATTCATTTGTAAAAAAGTTTTGCACATGCTCTATTTTTGCATGTAATGCATTAAACGAATGCATCAATTGATACCTTAATTAATATGTAAATCTGTCCACTATGCAAAGCGGGGGGAAAAAGCAGTCTGAGCAACATTAATATAAGTTTGATTTAAAACTACATTTGTTTAAAAGAAAACAGGATTCATAATTAGACAGATTGCTTGGATGTTAGTGCACCTTGTGTTATCTGTTGCACTACAGATGTAAAGGGACAGTCAGCTGTTAAAGCAGGTGGGCGGGGCAGCTGTAATAAAAGGAAACTCCAGCTCAGCTCAGTGATATCCCTGAATGTCT